GTCTCAGAAGAAAAAGACCGGCAAAGTGAAAGCCCAAGTTAAAGTGACAAATGAATCTGATGAGGAAATTCCACAACTGGTTCCAATAGGCGTGACTCCAGTGAAAGAAAATGTTGAGGTATTTTTATCAAGTTTTAATATTCATAATGAAATGTTTGGTGGCCACTGTGGGTCAGGCAGGCCACACCATGACGGACGGTGGAAAATATTAGAGTAAACTAGAAGAACCATGAAGACAGTTACTGTGATTACTTGTGAATGTCAGTGAGATTATTCTGTATTGGGCAGGGATACTTTGAAAAGTGTATCATAAAGCAAGTGTGAACATAAGATATATATAAAACGAATGGGGATGGGATGGGTCAGTTGGTAGAGCTTTATGGATCATCAGCTGTGCCAGACACAAGGTCTGGGAGGCTGTACCTGGTACTATTTTACAATAAAATTTTATAAATAGGGGTATGCTCTAAGATGGTAAAAAGTACAGGCAGAAGCCACATGTGCTGGCACATGCCTGTAATCAGAATTTCAGGAGAATGAGGGAGGACAGGAGGATCAGGACTGGTCTGGACAACTGAGTGAGATGCTGTCTCAAAAAATGAGTAAGAGGCCAGTAAGATAGCTCAGTGGACTAAGCACCTGTTTAGGCAAGCACAGGGACAAGGGTTTGATCCCTGGCACCGCGTGTTGCGCCAGCCCCGCTCCCAGGGCACACTGAGCCAGGACCAAGTCCAGGTGTGGTGACATACACCTATAATCCCAGCACTGGGGGTGCTGAAAACAGAAGTATCACTACGAGTCCAAGCTGTGTAGTGAGACCCTGTACCAAATACATAAAAGAAAAAACAGCTGAGGTAGATAAATGGATATACCTCGAGTCCATAATATTAAGTGACATCAGATGCACAGCTTAAATGTCACAGGGTTTTTTCTTATATGGTACATAAAGATCAAAAGGGAAAAGGAGGGCAGAGTAGTCTGGGGATAAAAAGAGGATTAAGGTGTGGTGTCCGTGTTCCAGCTCCCATGCTAAATGTACTCTCATACTGTGAACATGTACTTGATAATGGCAGGAGCTCTGAAGGTATGGCTCAGTACGAAGGCCCCAGGTTTAGTGTCCAGTGCTGGGGAACAAAAAACTGTGCTGTTGTACATAGGCAAAGCAGTAAGGTGTCACTTCTCATTGTCCAGTATCCTGTACTGTGCTTAGTTCTTTGTGCAGTTGGCAGCACAGGTTGATTTATAGCAACATCATCACACACACATGAGTGTGCTGTGCTACATTGTGATGGCAGTGGCGTCACTAGACAGTAAGAATCTTTTAGCTCTCTTAAAATCTAATCCTAAGTGTGGTCTGTCTTTGACCAAATGTAATTATCCAGCATATGACTATAGTAAGCATCTTTTTATGTGCCTTAGAATCAAGGAAAGGGAGACAGTTGAGTAGAGTGGAGGGCCTGAGTTCAATCCCTGGTTC